GGGTGGACGTCCTCCCTTCTCAGTGCCAACACAGCAATCGGTATTTTACAAGGAAAGCAGCAGTACGGTCATCTGCCAGTGACAAATGTTTGCCTCACAACAAATCTGGTTCTAAAATTCCTCTTCAACCATAACAACAACTGCAGTGCTACATCAATGTGTAATTTTCTGGGCTATTTTAATTAGGGGGTCCAAATTTAAGCAAAAATCCAACTGCTTGTGGTACTATCAGTGCATATACCTCAACTAAATCAGTGGTTCTCAATCTTCCTAATGCCACGACCCTTTAATACAGTTCCTCATGTTGTGGTGACCCCAGACCATAAAATTATTTTCGTTGCTACTTCATAACTGTAATTTTGCTACTGTTATGAATCCTAATGTAAATATCTGATATGCAGGAGACCCCCCAAAGGGGTTGTGACCCACAGGTTGAGAACCACTGAACTAAACAGATAAGGGAATGGCAAGATGTCTTCTATACTGGCCAGGTCAGGCGATAATAACCATATCACACCTTACTCCTCCGCCTAGGGGTGGCAAGGTGCTTATAATGTCGACTGTAGGAAGAACCCCAATTTTAGAACTGTTGAAATGGGAAAAATGTATGTCTTAGAATTGAGGGAACAGGGTATATTTAACTTAATAGTCATTTCTACAGAGAAGATAGATTAAAAACTTTTGAGTATTAAAAAAAATAACTGCAGGTTTAGAGGTATTTGAAAAATAAAGTAACAATAGAAGGGTTTTTTTTGCTCTATTTTAAATCATGCCAGGCAAGGACTACACTAAACCTTGCTTTTCTTATGAAACACCCTTTGATATAGGCATCTGTCATTATATCTCAAATTTGTCATTTTTAATGACTAGGTCATTTCCTATTTCCAGAGTTTATCTTACTGTGACCATTCTTATTTTGTTAGAATAATCCATACTATATAATGTAGCATTTAACATATACGTATTTCTTGACTGAAACTGTACAACCATGTATCATATTAGGTTCATGATGCATTTAGAAATTAGTTAAAAATTATATATTCCCAAGTCTATCTAGACCATTATGTTGCCTTTATAACCATAAGGTAAACATGACGTTGTTCCCCCCACCTTACAAAGGCAGCTAAGGGAATTTCACTGTCCTCTCTAGTAAGACTTAGGATCCAGCCTGAATTTCACATTATGAGTTTTATAGTCTTTAATGTGATGGCCAGCTGGGTGTGGCCACAAGAGGACACAGGAGAGGTTCAGGAAAACAAGTTCCTAAAAGAGGTCCTAAAGACAGGAGGCATGGTACACCACACCACACAAAGCCCCAGGGGAGAGACGCCAGAGTGGTTTGGGGGGCAGAGACAAGGGGAGAACTTAGGCTAGAGCCTTTCCTGGGGCTTCTACAGGCATAGCAAGGCAGGGCAGAGAAGGGTGAACAGTTTAGGACTGACAAGTCTGAATAATTTCTACTGGCACTGAGCTATAGTGATGGTGCTTACATTGCCTGGTACCTGGCCATGGCTCTGGCCCTGGGATGGTTAAGGCAGAGAATACCGCCTCCAGGGGACTGTGGGCCAGAGAAGGGAGGTGTGGCACTGGATGGGTCAGTCTGCACATGGCTCCAGTAAGCCCTTTGCGGTTACTCTAAGAATTGGCTAGACCCGGAAATCTTTCCCCTAGCTAGAAAATTGTTCTTTAAAAGATATCAAAATATAAAACTATACAGAAAATAAAAAAATACATAAAAATACCCTTGGATCCCGTGTAAACATACACCAGAACATCCCATGAAGACAGGACTTCAGAGAGAAACTATCAGTGTTATTATACTTCATTTATCATCACTGGCTTCCATTTAAGTAAAGTCCTGTTAACATAGTTTCTAGAGACAGAGCTACATATCAACACATACTTTATAAGGATTAAACATTATCAAGTATGTACTTAGGAAAGTCTGACAATTAAGTTTGTGAATTCATCCTAGAAAAAGTGCCACATATCTCACTGCTGAACATCACTACAGTTACTTTCGAAGTACTCCCCTTGGGAAGCTAGGCACTGAGATCAGCAGCTAGTCCACCCTTCACAGTAATTTAGGAACACTTGCTCTGGAATGGCCATCAAAGGTGTCATCGCATTACCTTTGATGTCCTGAATATTGTCAAAATATCTTCCTTTCAATATTGCTTTTATCTTTGGATGAAGAAAAAAGTCACCAGGGGCCAGATCAGGAGAGATGGGAGAATGCACAAATACAGTAATTTGTTTACTGGCTAAACACCCCCTCACAGACACTGCTGTGTAAGCTGGTGCACTATCATGATGCAAGAGCCATACGCGGTTGGCCAAGATTTTCAGTTGAGATTTTCTCAACTGTTTTCCTGATATTTACTTGGCTTGCTATGCTTCTTACAGTCAGCTGATGATTTTGACACACAACTGGACAAATTTTTATAATGTTTTTGTTAGTTCTGCTCATAACTGCCTGCCGTTACCTCTCTTCATCAGTGATACTTTCTCTCCCCTCAAAAAAATGTTTAATCCATTTGTACACTGCCATTTTCCTCATGGCATTATCCTTATAAACTAACATGTTCCTGATTTCACTTCCACTCTTGTCAAGTTTAATGAGAATTTTTTTTTTTTTTTTATTTTAAGACAGAATCTCACTCAGTTGCCCTGGGGTTGAGTGCCATGGCATCATAGCTCACACCAACCTCGAACTCTTGGGCTTAAGAGATCTCTTGTCTCAGCCTCCTCAGTAGCTGAGACTACAGGTGCCTGCCACAACGTCTAGCTAGTTTTTTTATTTTTCGTCAAGAGCCCTGCTCTTGTATAGGCTGTTCTCAAACTCCTGAGCTTAAGCTATCTACCTGTCTTGGCCTCCCAGAGAGCTAGGATTACAGGTGTGAGCCACTGGCGCCCAGCCTTCACAAAAAAATTAATGTTTGTTTGTTGTTCATGATAGCACATAAAATCATGTAACAAGTACGAATGCAACTCAGTAAAACATGGACATGTGACAAGAACACAACTGTGACACACAGATATACCAAGGTTATAAAACCTTACTGAATTGTTTGTACAGTACTGCCAAAGTAAGCACATGGTAGCATGAGGTCTGAAGTGTGTAGGTGCAAATACTGCTGAAAAGAGAAGCCCCATTCCATCCTATTCTTGTAAAATCATATTTCTTCTCCTTGTAGTTAAATATGATATAGGAATACACACACAAGAGTAAATAAAAAGGTAAAAAAGGAGAAAAGAAATAAATAGGATGCTGTTACAACATGGAAAAAGATAAAGAATGAAACTAGAAAAGGCAAAATGCTTTTACAGTCTCTGTAATACTCAATAAAAAGAATTCCATCACTCTCTTAGCTGAAAAATTGTTCAAATATTGCCCAAACCATTTGTGCTCACAACTAAACTCTGACTCCTGTCTTTTCAGATTTTTCCACCCACTTCCTTCATACAAGCAAGGACCCTCAATGCACCTGAAATGCACCTCACAAACACCTTGTCTTGGAGCCTTTACTCACCAGTACCCCTTAACTAAGTGGTCCCCTGTAACGTTTCCCTACCATAATACCTGAAGATATTAATGCTGAAAGAAGAGGTAAACCCCTGATATCTCATTGGGAAAATGTTTAATAGTACAACTACTTTAAAAAACAGTTTGTTAGTTTCTTAAAATGTTAAATACAGAGTGGCTATATGACCCAGAAACTCCATTCCTATGTAGTTATCCAAAAAAAGCGAAACCCAATGTCCACACAAGGACTTCTTAGCAGCATTATTCCTAATAGCCTAAAGTGGAGACATTCTACATGCCTATCAACAAGTGAATGAATAAAGCAAAACACAGTATGTTCATTATTCAGCAAAAAAGGGAACTAACTATTGACTCATACTGCCAAACAGATGTACCTCAAAACCAGTCAAAGAAGGCAGATGCAAAAGACAATGCATTCTGTCATTCCATTTACATGAAATGTCCAGAAAGGGTAAATCTGTGCAGACAGAAAGTAGATTAGTAGTTGTCTGGGGCACAGGAACTGACTACAAATGGGCACAGGAGATCTTAACAGACTAGAACATTCTGAATTTGACTATAGTATGGTTACACAATTCTGTAAATTTTTCTAAAAACCATTAAATTGTATATTTAGCATAAGAGAATTTTATGGAATGTAGGTTATCCCTCAATAAGACTCCTAAAAAATAAGATCTACCTAGGCAAAGTGGCTGTGGTCCCAGCCACTTAGGAAGTGGGGACAGCAGGACCTCTTGAGCCCAGGAGTTGGAGGCCACCATGCAGTGAGCTGTGACTATATTACTGCACTCTGGCCTGGGCAACAGAGAGACCCACTGGAAGCATCCAGTGACATACCAGGACAGGAACATTCTACAGATAACCCATTCGTACTGAGTTGTCAGAGGAAGCCAGTAAAATTTCAAATTGTAAACCCAAGTTAAACTGCCTTCCTTCTTTCAACATAGTTATGACTGAATTTCCTTATAAAGGTTAAGTATTCCTAACAATTATATTGAAGGAGTGCTGTTTTATTATCACCTTCACAGAAGTGCTCAATTTTAATTCTGCAAATATTAATAAACAAGTACCTCAGCTCAGAGTAACTGTTTCTAAATTCGTACATCTCACACTGGCCACCATATTCTAAACATCTGCAAACTAGACCTCCTTATTTGGAGATTCATGACTGAAGGGCCCCATCACTGTAATCATTTATTAAAATCATCTACTGAGTAAAACAGAGGCAATTTGGGAAGTAAAACAAAGCAAACAAAAAAAATTTTCTAAGCACTCTTTATCCCACTTTAAATTCAAACAATATGCTAATTATCAAATATCTTATTATCATTAATTTGGAAGTACTGAAAATTATTTCTTTTCATCATATCCTATAATTTATAATTAGCTTTTAATTAACTTAGATTTAAAAACCCCTTTTTATATGCTTTATAATAGTGGCTTCTCAAAATTTTTGATCATAGGACCCCTTTTAAACTCTTAAAAACGTATCAGGCAGCCTGACCCTGACCTAAAGTAAATTCCCAGAAGACTTTCCTGGGTTTTGAATTTGCACTGACAGGTGTGCATATTCTAGCAGCAGTTTAATGACCACGTATGATACTGTAAACAGGACAAAAAAGAAATTATTGAGAACTTCAAAGAGCTTTAGCTTATCATAGGTTCTATCTATCTGTATTTTCTTTTTTTTTTTTTTTTTTTGAGACAGAGCCTCAAGCTGTCCCCCTGGGTAGAGTG